TGACCAATCTTTAATTGCAAATAGAACATAATATTCAGTCTTAGTGTGTGTGTGTGTGCATCAAATATTTTTCAAGGCAAAGATCCTTTAAACCCACTGCAGCCTTGCACTTCACCAGGAGAGGTCGCTGTAACTGAAGCTTCGAGAAATGAACCTATTTCCGATACAATTGTCCAAGTGGTTCGATGCTTCATTTGCCATCACTACCTTCCTCCATGTTTCTGTCCCCGCCACTTCTTTCTGTTTCCATGTGAGCGCTGAGGCAGTCCTGCCCCTATGCTCTCATTGGTTGAGACGCGTGGTGACGCCCATCCTAAGCCAATACTGATCAACATCAACCTCTCTGATTGGTCCTCTAAGTGTCGATGAGTGGAGGGCTTCTCTGATTGGTCCTCTAAGTGTCGATGAGTGGAGGGCCTCTCTGATTGGCCCTCTAAGTGTCGATGAGTGGAGGGCCTCTCTGATTGGTCCTCTAAGTGTCGATGAGTGGAGGGCTTCTCTGATTGGTCCTCTAAGTGTCGATGAGTGGAGGGCCTCTCTGATTGGTCTAAGTGTGGATGAGTGGAGGACCTCTGATTGGTCCTTTAAGTGTCGATGAGTGGAGGGCCTCTCTGATTGGCCCTCTAAGTGTCGATGAGTGGAGGGCCTCTCTGAGTGGTGGGCTTGTGCGCGTTGTGGCGGCTACAGAGCAGGGCGAGGCAGACAGGAAGTACGCAGTATCCCACGGCTCGAGGGTCGGCTCTCGTGCAGGAGAACAGGAAGAGGAAGAGCTGCAGGTACGGAAGCAGGAAGAGCGACGCCCACATCCAGACAGGAAGTGGAGGCAGACGACCCCCGAAGCTCTGAGACCAGCTGATCGGGGGTGCGGTGGACGGGCCGCCCGCCCCCCTCTCAACGAGCTCCAAACTGAAGCTCTGTACCTCAAATACGTAGTAAACCAAGATGGCGCTGAGCAGCAGGAAGAGCAACACGCCCAACCAACCCATCCGCTGACGGAAGTTCATCATCCTCCATTCTGAGGAGAGAGAGAGAGATCATCATCATCATCATCATCATCATCCTCCATTCTGAGGAGAGAGAGAGAGATCATCATCATCATCATCATCACCCTATATATTATAATAACTCTTTATTATAACTCTATATTAGATAACCCTTCCGGGGCCGTTCTCATGTCATCAAATGTCCCTCCTCGACTCCTCGACTCCTCGACTCCTCGACTCCTCGGTCCTCCGGTAGTGACCCGGAAATGAATTTCAGCGCGCCATGTTGAAGGACATCTCATTTCTCTAAATGCACATCGAGGACCGAGCATCGAGCGTCGAGGAGGCTCTCTGGAGGAGCTCTAACCGAGGAGACACTGATGGGTCCTCCACGGTCCTCCACGGCTCCTTCGTGGGTGCATTTCCGGGAACAGAGATGTTTCAAAGAGGCGTGACGCACGGCCGGACTGATCTCAGCCAATCACAGCTCTGCATGCATCCCCTGGATATTATTTTATTAACTGCTTTCATCGTGACGTGATGTTTCCAGAGAGAACAGCTGTGAGGTCCGTGCAGAAAGCAGAGCAGTGTGTATAATATATATCACTCAGTATAACAGGCCTACTCTCTTTGCTTTAGTTTAGTAGATATCTACAAACAAAGAGTCCAGATGTTTCTAAAACCATTTAGTGCTTCACAAAATAAAATGCACAACGGCTGTAGCCTGATGATATGCTTTAGGAGCTGTAGGTGCGTGTGTGTGGTGTAGGTGTGTGTGGTACAGTGTGTAGGTGTGTGTGTGGTACAGTGTGTAGGTGTAGGTGTGTGTGGTACAGTGTGTGGTGTAGGTGTGTGTGGTACAGTGTGTAGGTGTGTGTGGTACAGTGTGTAGGTGTGTGTGGTACAGTGTGTAGGTGTGTGTGTGGTACAGTGTGTAGGTGTAGGTGTGTGTGGTACAGTGTGTAGGGTGTGTGTGTGGTACAGTGTGTGGTGTAGGTGTGTGTGGTACAGTGTGTTGGTGTAGGTGTGTGTGGTACAGTGGTGTAGTTTTTGGTTTTTTTGGTGTGGTACAGTGTGTGGTGTAGGTGTGTGTGGTACAGTGTGTAGGTGTGTGTGTGGTACAGTGTGTGGTGTAGGTGTGTGTGGTACAGTGTGTGGTGTAGGTGTGTGTGGTACAGTGTGTAGGTGTGTGTGGTACAGTGTGTGCGTAGATGCAGCGGACAGACAGGTCTCAGTTGGTTTGGTGTCCTCTGCTTACTTTTAATACTTGTAAATAAAACTTTTGGCCCGTCATTTATTTCCCTCATTGTAGCGACCAAAGAGGGGGGGGGGATATATCCAGTCTCTGATAGTGTTACGTTATTATGAGAGTGCTCTCATACTTGTTTGATTCTGAAATTGTATATATATATATATATATATATATATATATATATATATATATATATATATATATATATATGTGTGTGTGTGTGTGTGTGTGTGTGTGTGTGTGTGTGTGTGTGTGTGTGTGTGTG